GTCCCATTGAATACGTTGGTTTTGTCCGAGTTCACATGTGTGTCCAGAGACCCATCCACGTTTCCACGGCGATCACCCGCACCTCGTGGTATCGTCTGATGAGACCAGTCAAAGAGAGGAGCGAAGATGCCGGCCTAGAGGTGAGGGAGAGGGAGAAAGAGAGAGGAGGGAGAGAAAGGGGGAGGGTACAAAGAGAGAGAGGGGGGGGAGAGGAGGGAGAGGGGGGAGGGGAAAGATACAAAGAGAGGAGGGAGAGAGGAGGGAGAGAGGGGAGGGTATATATATGCAAACAATGACTGGGAGGAAAGGCTCTGTGGTGTGTGTCATAATGCGCAAAGTGTCCTTATGCAGTAGAAGAATCCCTCACAAGTTTGTATTTTAAATTTCTCTCTCTCTCTTCTCTCTGTCAGACTGCTTTTTACCTACCCACCGACACCAATAGGCTGGTCCACATCACTAACAATACTACCACCAAAGAGGTACATTATACATATATACACTGTTTGTGCTGCCGATATCGATTGTACAACATGCATCACTCTTCTGTCTAATACAGTATGTTGATGTTTTGTCTCCTGATAGGTGTGCTCTGTATAGAACTTACCAATGATTACTGCAGTCTGTTTAGTTTCTTTACTTTTCTGCCACATACAAAAATGGATGGTGGGCTTTAATTAGCACTTTTTGCCATTCCTCCCAGCTGGTGTCGATATTACTGAAGAAGTTTTGCGTCACAGATAATCCTAAGAAGTTCTCTCTCTACGAAGAGTATGGTGGAGATTGTAAGTTCCATTAATTAATTAACCCTTATGCCAAGTTTTGTGTACATACATATGAAGGTATGTTCATGAAATTATAGTTCATAGCATACCAGCCATATAGTACAGTGGACCCCCTCTCTAAGGACACCTGAAAATGAGGACACCCCTGAAATGAGGACACCTCTCTAATAAGGGCACCTTTTCTTTCCCCAAGAACAGTTCTTGCATGCAATTTCCCTTTCTTGCCCACCGTAGATTTCACAATAATAGTAGTACTGGTGTACTAAACCTGTTATTCCTGATTGTGTCAGATCGGAGACTATTTGAAGAGGACAACCCGCTGGTGATATCTCTGGAGGCCAGCGTATCGAACAGAAACAGCAAGCTAATCCTGCGAGACAACACGTACAGTACGATACAGTGGGACGCCTTTACGCACCCGGAGTTGAACAATTTCATACTCATTCTGCGCAGGGAGGAAGAGCTGTACGTGGAGAAGGTACGTATCTACAACTAATGCCAGGCATAATTATGATGTCTATAGCAGGAAAGGGGGCAAAATATTTTACGAAGGAGTTTTGGCGAAGTGCAAAAGTTTTGTTGCTGACATTTTGAGGGCAGGGGGTTCAAGCTATCCACCCTCGATGGTACATAATTGTGCAGAGTACCCCTTTGTACGGAAGTCTCCCCTTTTTGCGTACCATACCCCTCCCTCCCTCCTCTAACGCAAGACCATCACTCCCTCCCTTCCTTCCTTCCCTTCCTCCCTCCCTCCCTCTCTTCCTCCCTCCCTCCCTATTCCATACCCTCCCTCCCTCCCTACCCTCCTACCCTCCATACCCTCCCTCCCTCACTACCCTACCACCCTACCCTCCCTTACCCCATACCCTACCCTCCCTCCTTCCTCTTTCAGCTGGCAGACAGGTTCAGGCTATGGAAGGACTGTTTATCTCAAGTCATGAAAGAGAAATTCAAGGAGGAGATTTCGAGGCAAACCTACATCGGCGACGATTCTAGAAATGACACGGAAGAAACTCCAACAACACTTTTAGATTCAAGAACGAAGGCATAATTCTTTCACTTTCTATTGTAATTGTCAGCACCTTTCAATTTCCTTGATTTTTGCCTCGTATAATACAAATCTTTTCTGATGTAATCCTTGACTTTCTGCATTTATGTATCAAGTGTATATACATTGTTACTGCCACTCTTTATTTATAATTACAGTGATTTGTAACATTTTTGGCACCCGTGATGATAGTAAATTTTCGAGAGTTTCGTGTGTGCATTCGAGAGTATGATGCAGTGAGAAGAAATCTTTGTATATTATACAGAGTGGTTATGGAGTTAAGCCTATAAAGGGTTAAAATTGTATGATCTCCAACATATTCACAGTTGAGGCAGTAATTAAGGAGTTAAAGATGATATACATGTTTATTCAAGAACATGTATAAACTTAAGGGTTAATTCGTCAGTAGGGCATGCTGGTCCTCCTTTCTGAACATCGACCGAGCAATATCCGGGGATGCAGCGGAAAATATGAACTCCTCGTCGATATACTTCACCACGACGACCACACCGTCTTCGAAATCGGCAATATTGACTCGGAAGTTCTGTCCCTGGACGTCGCCTCTGTAACCAGCATTGAAATAGACGTTAGAAGTCACGTTGAACCTGTATGTTCGATCTGGCTGCACATCTAACAGTAGAAAGGACAATAACTGCAGTTCAGACAATCGGGGCTGCACCCATTGTTGTGTAATACATACGTGGCATTCCACTTTGTGTTTGTACATAATAGTGCATGCATTTATAATTAGATGCCTACTTTTCTTTGTGAGAAATATCTTTTTGCCCTTGAAAATTCCGATGGTCAGTTGAGACAGTTTTGTCAGATTTTTCACTATCACCAGGTTACCAGAGCTGGGCTTGTGAGGAACTGTGTAGGAGGAAAAACGCGCACGTGAGCGGCGACATTGCATGCATGCGATGCATGCATATGGGACGCTTGGAATGCACATGACAAGGAGAAGAACAGATTATGTGATGTTACATTGTAATGCACACAATACGAGTGTAGAAACATGGATCCCTATTGTTTTTACTTGGACATTACCTAGCTATATACGCCGTCGCCGACTCGAGATCGACTCGAGATAGCTATATATGATATTACCTTGCTGAACTACTGGCTCCATATCTCTTGTAGTGGTTACTTCCCACGTGGCGGTGGACGGAGTGACTTTTGGGTCGTACGTGACGCCTTCCCAAACCAGTCCTACGCCTGCTCTCGCGGGGAAAAGGAATGCGGCCGTAGATTGCGAGCGCAGCGTTTGCCACGCTACGAAGCTCGACGGATCGGACGCAACGTACGGCATTCCGGAGACGTAGACTGAGAAATCGTCTCGTCCAGTGTCGTTGACATAAGTGATTGACACTCTTTTACCTGGATCCATCTTTGTAGCTAATAATCTTTGCTGGATTTTGCTAGCTAACACGGCCCTTATTCTTCGCTGGATACATTACTGTATAACGGTATGTGCTCCCGGTTGCTAGCAACGGTAGTGAAGCCTGTACACGCATAATAAACTGGGATTCAGCACTGTGCTGTCAACAGAAGTGATACAAAACTCTGCGAAGGAATGTGCTGCGCATGCGCCAATTTTTATAGGCATGCGTGCGCGTACGTACGCTATGCCGGCGCGCTTCAATTAGAGATAACAGCGAAGTTCGTTTCGTTTCCCTGGAATGGCGTGTCCTCGTCGGTCGGACGCAGAGTGGTACCAAAATGATACCCATGTGACGGCGTCTGTGCTGATCAAACGGCTGCCAACTCGCGAAGGTCTCAGGCCCGTTTTCGAGCAGGGGAAATGTGCCATTTACATCGGAGGTAGGTAAACTTGATGTACGTACACGTGGGTGATTGTGACGTTGACGAAAAAGACACAACACAGGTTGACGATAGAATAATTGAGAAAGATGTAGTGGTTTTGTGAATCTAAAACCATAAGAGCGTTTAAGGTATATGCACCACATGTGGGTTCTAAGAGCTCAGTGAGTTATTTTGCAATAAAAGTAAAAAAACATCAGAAATTTCGCTGAATACATACATAACTAACGCGAACTTCGCGGTAGGACTGGTCACACTCCAAAATATGGGACCAGCTACCGCTTTGGTAGATTATCAAACGCTATAGTCGCAAACACTTATAACCACATAAGAAACCTTTCGTGCCAGCACCTACCTAAGTTACTGATACACTTCTTTAATGTGTGTGTGTGTTACAGATGAGGTGTTTTGGGAAGTGGCCCTGGCCGGGTCTATTATCCCTGACAAATGCACATTCAAGACCTCAAAATTCAGAGCCGAGCTGAAGATGACGAAGAAAGATCCAGTACTTTGGGCCGACTATGAGGTAACAACTTACCTGTAATATTGCTTCGAGGTTTGTATGTAGTTATATAGTACACACTCATGCGTTAAAACATACATACTTACTAAATTTCAGCTCGGAATCCCACAATTCAAGGGCCCTCAGGCTTCTAACGCACGTATATTTCACTGGGTCACTGCCTAAAGCATCACTACTGCCAGCTTTTCAAACCTCTTTTAATGTTTGTTGTTTCAGTTCACAAAGCAAATACAACATGGTTAAGAAATGCGGCGCAAAAAATTGGTCTGTGTTCTACCAATGGTAGGGGTTTTAATTGGGTTCTGATTATGTACATTCTCTCTCTCTCTCTCTCTCCTCTCCCTCTCTCTCGCTCGCTGAATTCCTTCAGGCCATTGTAGCCCCTTCTTCCAGTAGCCCACAGCAAGCTCGCGGTCCTGTGACCTCCAATGAGGCACTCTCACCGCCTCCTCCTCCTCCTCCTGCTTCCTCACCTGGTTCGAAGAGAAAACATCCGAATCCTAAAACCTTCTGTGAGTAAACCTTGTAGATACTTATACTTTTGTTAGTAAACATTCTAGATACTTATACTTTTGTTAGTAAACCTTCTAGATACTTATACTTTTGTTAGTAAACCTTCTAGATACTTATGCTTTTGTTAGTAAACCTTCTAGATACTTATGCTTTTGTTAGTAAACCTTCTAGATACTTATACTTTTGTTCTAGATACTTATACCTTTGTTAGTAAACCTAGAAGTACTACAAATGTTCTGAGATAAATTAAATACACTTTAGTACAACATTAAACTCTTCATTGAGAAGTTTTCTGGTCACATTTACTCGTGTACAATATTGACTTACATTTTTAGCAAAAGCGGTGCAGAATGACTTTGTGTACCTAAACCACCTTTCACACACCTGGCAGAACAAGGTTAGCTCTTTTGCTAATCATCCTTTATAACCACTCATCAGTTGTATACTGACTACGTGACATCTATAGGGAAGTGGAGGAATGGCAATAAGGGTTCATGTAGGAGACGTGATGAAAGAAACATGTACAGTTGACTTCAAGGAACGGCAATTTGAACTTCTTTTTCAGACTCGGTAAGGTTTTCGTGAACTTGGGGAATATTCCGATGTTTTTCTAGAGATGAGAGTAGAGTATTTCGTAAAGGCTGTATGATACGGATGTAATTTTCTCTACTTGTATAGCAATGAGGCGTTTCTTTCTTCTTACACCGGATCATGCCAAACAACGTTTGTATGGAAAGTTCATCTACAGTAAGTGTATTATGACTATGATGTACATGTTGCTGGCATTTAGTACAGTATGTAGTTCAGTGGTGTATTGGCAAGAAGTGTGGCTATTAATCCTAAACATAGTTGAACAGTGGAGTTATGTGGTGTTAAAGCCGTTACATACAGGTTACTTTGTTCGGGGGGAGGGGGGTGGAGCCTACTTTACATATTTCTCTCCAAACCAGTGGACAATGTGCATGTGTAAACATAAAGACATGGGTCTTATTTGCTTGTCACCATGTTTTGTTCTAGATGGTTAATGATTCATTACGATTTTTACAGTGACTCCATCCAGCCAAGCGTCAGCCATTTTGAAGTCACTCCTCGTGCTATAGACATCGTATTGAAGAAGGCGTTCGACAAAAAGTGGACTATGCTAGAGAAAAGTAAACATCATCCATCCCTGACTAATTCCAGTTCGGATTCAAGCTCTGTTGTCGAGGGTGACCAGGCATCGTCCAATCAGAATGAGCCGAGTTTGAACGCATTAGAGACTGAAATGAACAACCTAAGTATTGCCGGTGATGTCATAGCCACACCCCCTTCACAACCCCAAACCATCAGAAATGTCGGTGGAAACTCACCCGATCCAATTCAAAATCACCACAGTAGTGACCATGGCAACCGTGCCCCTTCCACTTCTAGCGATACTGCTGCTGTTTATCACCATGGAAATGAAGTTGGGGAACCAGTTCAAAAAATTTACATGAACCCTCTCTACAAAGAGCCGTCCAGTAAAACTACTAAGCAAAAGCCTCATTCGCATTACACACATACAGTGGCTGCCTCTGAACTGGAAATGTCCGACCCCTCGTTCCGCGAAAAGCAACTCGGTCAGCCGAGTAAAACCGGTTTGATAAACCTGGGCAACACTTGTTTTATGAACAGCGTCATACAGTGCCTTAGCAACACCCCAGAGCTGCGAGATTACTTCGTCAAAGGTCACTACCTGGCGAACATTAACTCGCAGAATCCGCTCGGTTTCGAAGGAAAACTTGCCAAGTGTTTCTGCGTGATCCTTCGCAAGCTCTGGTCCGGAGAATACGGCTCTTTCTCGCCAAGGAAACTCCTAGAGATTGTTGCCAAGCGAAGCAAATATTTCGGCGGCAACTCGCAACACGACACGCATGAGTTCATGTCGTACCTGATCGACGGGCTACACGAGGATTTGAATCGAGTCCGAGAAAAACCGGTCACAAAACCGGTTGAAATGGAAGACTACCCTGACAGGTCGGTGACTTATAAGATACGACTTAGCGGGAAAATTTACTCTTTGTCCTTTGGCTTTACCGGCCTTAGTCATCTCCTCAGTCTTCCTCGACCCGCTCTAAGGCTAGGTTCAGAATATGTTGCATTGGCCCGTCGCGCTGTGCCACGTTGCCATGCCGTGAGGATAGAATCCATTTCTGTCTTCGCGGCAGGGCGCGACGGAGCAATGCAACATGAACCTAGCCTAAGTTGATGGACTCTAGTTGCATCCGTACCTAAAAGAAGTCCATCTGGAAGAGGTTATATTCTTTTTGCCTTAACTTTCCATGATCACTAGTACTTGGATTACAAAGGTCCCGCAGCATTATGATAAGCCTTTTGCACTCTCCATGGTTTCTATGACAAAGTTCCACTTCTTTAGCTATAAATGACCAGCTCAACCTTTTCTTGTGAGTTTATTCCCACTCGGAGAAGCGTGATTGTGGATTGATTGTGGAACTTTGATGACGATTTCTGTTGCTACTGTTCTGTTGTACCTTAATCACAGGGAGGTGGCAGCAGAGTCGTGGCGCTTGCACAAGAAGAGAAACGACTCGATGATCGTGGACCTTTTCCAGGGCCAGTTTAAATCAACCCTGGTCTGCCAAGAGTGCAATAAGGTAGTTACACACCGCTTCAGTTGGTTAAAAATTTATAGCCCTCGCTCTCTTCAGGAGTCGGTGACGTTTGACCCGTTCATGTCGCTGTCTGTTCCAATTCCGCGTAACCTTCGCCGGCTGCCCGTCATATTTGTACCTCAAGACCCCAACTCCTTGCCAAAGCAAGTAAGACTTTATAAATTTCTTTCATTGAGCTCGCTTTACTTCTCTCTGTGCATGTGTGTAGCTAATCCTCCAGCTGCCCCCTGAAGCTACTCTAAAACTTCTGAAGGCTTCAGTTGGTAGAAGAACCTCCCTCTCCATGGCTCAGGTATGAGTACATACACTCCGACAATATGCTCACTGCTCTTTCCTCCTCTTCTGCTCCACCTTCTCATCCCTACCACGTAACCCCACCTTCCTTCTCCCTTAGTCTACCCTGCTGACCCTCACTCTTCCACCTGCGCATGCACGAGCGCGCGTCTGCCCTACATCCGTGCATGTGCTGACCGCAGAGAGCTTCTCTAAACTAAACATCTTCCTCCTATTTTCTTTCTCGCCCCACCTCCCACCTTCCTTCTCCCCTTAGTCTACCCTGCTGACCCTCACTCTCCCACCTGCGCATGCACGAGCGCGCGTCTGCCCTACATCCGCGCATGTGCTGACCGCAGAGAGCTTCTCTAAACTAAACATCTTCCTCCTATTTTCTTTCTCGCCCCACCTCCCGCCTTCCTTCTCCCTTTAGTCTACGCTGCTGACCCTCACTCTCCCATCTGCGCATGCACGAGCGCGCGTCTGCCCTACATCCACGCATGTGCTGACCGCAGAGAGCTTCTCTAAACTAAACATCTTCCTCCTATTTTACCTCCCACCTTCCTTCTCCCCTTAGTCTACCCTGCTGACCCTCACTCTCCCACCTGCCGCATGCACGAGCGCGCATCGGCGCATGTGCTGACCGCAGAGAGCTTCTCTGAACTAAACATCTTCCTCCTATTTTCTTTCTCGCCCCACCTCCCGCCTTCCTTCTCCCCTTAGTCTACCCTGCTGACCCTCACTCTCTCTCACCTGCACATGCACGAGCACGTGTCGGCCCTACATCCGCGCATGTGCTGACTGCAGAGAGCTTAAACATCTTCCTCCTATTTTCTTTCTCGCCCCACCTCTCACCTTCCTTCTCCCCTTGGTCTACCCTGCTGACCCTCACTCTCCCACCTGCGCATGCACGAGCGCACGTCGGCCCTACATCCGCGCATGTGCTGACCGCAGAGAGCTTCTCTAAACTAAACATCTTCCTCCTATTTTCTTTCTTGCCCCGACCTCCCACCTTCCCCTCTTCCCTCCAGCTACGTGTGTTTGAAGTCTACAAGGGCAAGTTTCAGTCCCTCATGTCAGACAACAACCACCCGATATCCGGAATCAAGTCCAGTGACACCATCATCGTGTAAGCTGAACCATGTGGTATATACCAGTCTGGGCAAAACTAGACCACATAGTGCTAACCTGTATCAAAGTGGTGCTAACCTGGGCCAAAATGGCCAAAAAGTTGTGGTCCGAACTCACACCATGGTCTTATAGTGACCAATGGTGCCTAGTTGGACCAAACTGCGCCAATTCGGACCAAGTTGTACACCAAATGCCCACTCCTGGTCTAATAGCGACCAGATGGTGCAAAAAGAGGGTGCAGGCCTGTGACTATATCCTGCCCTGACTCATCGGTCAAGAGCATTGCTCAGGGCCTAGCACACTCTCTGCTGCAAGAAGCCTGGTTTATATAGGCCGGTTTAACCGAAGTAGTTGTGGTTTTAGAGCTATCACGTATTGTCATCATGTATCGCTTGTAACCACTTTACAAGTAGTACATGTTTTCATGTAATCACCTCTGTTAATAGAATTAACCCTCTAGAGTACAGGTTTTCTCAGAAACATTGCAATTGGAGCTGCCTCTACCCTTCTTTAACCCTTTGTAATCCGAAACCTTTGAAATATTAACCCCCTCCTGACCAATACAGGTCTGAAGTTCTATCCGAGCGTGCAGCCAAAGGTCCAGTTGTCGAGATAAACGTGGTTCAGCGAGTTCACGTCACACCTTTCCCGACAAAGTGTGCCCTGTGCGGATGTGGGGTGGAGAAGGGAAGAAAACTGCAGCGGTGCAGCAAATGTAAAACCGTTGGGTACTGTCACAGGTAGGCAGCAAGATGGAGAGAGTGAGTGTGTGAGATAAAGGAAGAGTGGAAAAGATGGAGTAGTGTTTTTCGGTTGGAAAAGAGACTGTAAGGGATTTGTGAAACATTTTGAAGTTTTTGGGGTCCGACAAAACCTCCTGGCATTGAATGTGAGTGTGGGGACCCCTCTGAAATATTTGGGTTTGATTGAACCCCTCAAACCCCCTGGCATTGACTGTAATAGAGTGTGGGAACCATGTTGAAACTTGGGGGTTCAATGGAACCCTTCAAACCCCCTGGCATTGGTTGGGCCTTGGTATTTCTTTTCTTTATGTTTCTCACTTACATGTCCTGGGTGTAGTGGACCTGTTTGCTTTGCCTTGCCTTTCTACCTCGCTACCAAGGAAACATGCATATACCAATGTTTCTCACTTCGAAACTAGGACCTGTCAGGAGAGAGATTGGCCAGAGCACAAGAGAAAGTGTGGCAAGGTGAAAGCCTTTCCAACAGGTCTTCCGTTTGTCATCAGTCTACCTGCAAATCAACTGACTTACTCCAGACTCATGGAATATGCAGAGACATTTTCCAGGTACGTAATTTTTCACCAAGTTTTACCGCTGCCGGCAGTTTTCTTGTTGGGACAAACACCTCCCTGAGCAAAACTGAGCTTTTTAAAACCAGATTTCCTACATTTTTATGAGTTCGAAAAATCTTTTTTTCGGAGCCTCAAAGACCACTGTGTAGGCCAGATTGTGCAGTTTTACATCTTCATTAGAATTAGGATGCATAGAAAAAAAATAAAAAAAATGTGTTTGTATTGATGTTTATAAAGCGAGAGAGATGCAAATCTGAGGTGTTCGGTCTTGAGTTTGTTCGCAAGTGAGTGTCCGTTACTAGTTCAATTTGTTTGCCATTTATCCCGTATTCTCAATTTATATAGGCGTTCGTTGACCGCGTAATTATTATTCACTAATGTTTATTGTTTTGATTTTAGGCGTTCGATATGTGTGCGTAGAAGAGAAATACAATTGAATCACGAGAAACAGGATAGAATCCAAGAGTCCGCAGAGAGTATGCAAACTTCTGAGGGTAGTATACAAGAGTCTACTGAGAGTGTGCAAAGTTCGCAAGAGGACATGGAGATGTGCACAGAGAGTATACATGAGTCTGCGGAGAGCATCCATGGGTCCACGGAGAGTATCCAAGGGTCCACGGGGAGTATCCAAGGGTCCACGGAGAGTATCCAAGGGTCCACGGGGAGTATCCAAGGGTCCACGGAGAGTATCCAAGAGTCTACAGGGGATATCCAAGAAAGACCGATGTACACACTGATCAGAGTAAACAGGTATTTGGAACCTGTTTCTGGAGCGGTTCCTCTTCAAGACAAAGGTGTGTATAAAGTGTTATACATTTATATACCTTTTTGAAGGAATGAATAGCGGCACAATCAACCCCTATCTTTCGTTGTCACTTAAACCCCCCTTCCTCCTGTTGCACGTTAGACAACGAAATTACAAACCAACCATCCCTAATACTTCAATAGTTGGAGGATGGAATAGCAGCACGATCTCGTTTTACCAACCCCTTTTTCACTGTCCCTTTACCCCCACTCACCTAAGGGTTTGAACAGTTTTGCATTTTTTGCAGGCACATGAGAGAACGAAATGACAAACTAACCATACCTAATATATTGACTATAGTTGGAGAGTGGAATCTCGTTGTACCCATCCTTATCTATCTCTATCTATTTCGTTGTCCCTTCACCCCCTCTTTACCCCTACCAGTAAGGGTTTGAATGGTTTTGCATTTTTTTTATGCACATGAGTAAACGAAATGACAAACCAACCATCTCTATACATTGACTATAGTTGGAGAGTGGAATCTCGTTGTACCTATCCTTATCTATCTCTATCTATTTCGTTGTCCCTTCACCCCCTCTTTACTCCTACAAGTAAGGGTTTGAACTATTTCGCATTTTTTGTACGCACATGAGTAAACAAAATGGCAAACCAACTCTCCCTAGTACTTTGACTGTAGTTGGAGGTTGGAATGGTATTTCTATCTTACCTCGATTTTACTCTCCCTTTACCCCCACTCACCCCCTTACCCCACCTCACAATAAGGGTTTGAACGGTTTTGTAGGCACATCTAAATAATAGTTAGACGCTGATTCGAGGTAACTACGCGCAGAGAAAGCGAGAGCCCGGCATTGTGGCGCCCGAGCGCAGCGAGGGCGCTACCCCCGGACACGAGGCCTTCTACCGGCGCGTGGTTACCGAGAATCAGAGTCAACTATTTTAGAGTGAGGCTTCAGTTGAGCGCTCTTGGCTTTCCTGTTGTATGCAGTGCAAGAAGAGGTAGCGAAGTGGCCGCGGTGCGGAGCTCCGCCTTCTTTTTCTGGTTGTGCTCGACGGTCTGCGCGCAGGGGGGTTGCGCGTGCGAGTGGACGACGCGTCAATGTAGATTCAGTGTTGATCTGTTGTTTACATGTACATTTGTTATGTTTTCTGTTTTATCTGTAGGTTTTGTAGTTTGTGTAGGTTACTACATGTAGTAAACCCGTCGAGGTTTACTACGGGAAATAGTAAACCTCGGCTTTGCAATCTGATTGGTCAATTCGAACCTAGCTCACTCTAAATAGAGATCTGCTTTTCTCTTTCCCTCTCCCTCCTCTTCTCCTCCTCTCCTCTCCTCCTCCTCTCCTCCTCCTTTGCAGGTGAAACTCCGCTGGTATTCGATGACAAGACAGTCTATCTTGCCATGGACTGGAGAGACGACCCAAAAGACGACGACAGCGTCATAGTAACACCCAAACCAACCATGGTAGGAAACCTAGTAATATTATTTTAATGTGATGGATATAAAAACGTGTGCAGGAGTACGAAGAAGACGAAAAGGTGGAAACTCGACACGCGAAGTCTAACACCGTCTCTCTGACTGACTGTTTGCAGCTGTTCACTGAACCAGAGACGCTCTCTCAGGAGGAGGCGTGGTGGGTGTGTGTGGAGAGAGGGGAGAGGGAGAGAGGAGATAGAAGGAAAGGGAGAAGGGAGAGACGTAAAATGAGACAGGATGTGAGAATGTGTGTGCATACCTACCAACCATCCAGCTTTTTGCTTGATAATCAAGCAATAATTCTGCCTACGTATCCCACCAGAAAATTGCCAAATCCCTCTTTTTTGTGCTAACTTGTGATGCATCATACCCATACATTTTGGATGGACACACAGCGTTTTCAAGCAAAAAATACCGCAAATCAAGCAAATTTGACACATTTCTCAAGCAAAGGATTATCTGCAGGATGTGAGAATGTGTGTGTGTGTGTGTGGAGTGGGGGAGAAGGGAGGGAGAGAAAGAAAAAAGAGAAGGAAAAGAGTTACAAACAGATGTATTATGTATTATTATGGTGTGTGTGTAACTGCATGCAGGTGTAAGGAGAAACAAGGGGGGAGGCACTGAAACCAATTTCTCCATTATTTTTTGTTTTCTCGAAGCTGGTTCAGAAACTTTTTCACAGGTACTGTCCACGCTGCGAGAAGCACAGACCGGCGATAAAACAGATGTCGCTATGGAAACTGCCCCGGTTCCTGGTCGTCCATTTGAAGAGGTTCTTGTTCCACAACTCGGTGTGGAGGAGTAAGATCGACCATCTCGTCTCTTTCCCCCTCAGGTGGGTTCTTATTGTTGTGAGCCAACACAGATTTGTTATTGTTGTGAACCAGTGTCGGTGTTTTTTCTAGAGTGGGGCAAGTCCCTTCACCCCCTCTTTACCCCTATACCAGTAAGGGTTTGAACGGTTTCGCATTTTTTGTACGCACATGAGTGAACGAAATGACAAACCAACTATCTCTAGTACTTTGACTATAGTTGGAGCTTGGAATAGTATTACTCTCCCAAAAAAGGCATTGTACCCCCTTAACTATTGCTCATACATAGGTGACAGTAATGTTGTCTTTGATCCCCTTTTAAAACTGGGTGTCCTTTTTGTCCCCACTGAAGTGTAATAAAATGGAGTGAGCGAGTTTTCAATACCCGTATATATGTACATGTGCAGAGTATACAATCTCTCCTATCTACTGTACCTACTTGGTAGAAACCGTAAGTGAAAATAAAGCTTCGCGTATATGTAGTTGGCAGATGTGCATGTCACTCTGTAAATTATGTGATTCCACTTTGACTGGTGTTGTGGATGTTGGTGTACATAATGGTGGAATTGCTATGGCAACCACTTGAGGTATATACATTTACGAAACTTTCTTGCAGAGGTCTCGACATGTCTCCTTATCTCCTTGGTGATGCAGCCGAGGAAATCTCTCCCGAAACTCCGCCCATTTACGACTTGTATGCCACTGTTAATCACTATGGCAACATATACATCGGTCACTACGTGGCAACCGTCAAACCGCCACTGTCAAAAGAGAAAGGTCGGAAATTATTAACTGCACGATTGTTGCACTTTTCCAATTATAATTCTACCATTATAACTAAAAGTTTTGTTAATCGCTGACCTTGGAGATGGGTTGCACTGTAATTTTCTTCCCTCCCATCCAGAGTGGCTGTGTTACGATGATGATAGGGTCTGGTCAATTAGTCCGGACAAGATCCCCTGCAGTGAGACCTACGTCCTCTTCTATCGTCGCCGGATACCGTCATAGCCACACCCACCTAATAAACAATCATCCATGTTCTCCATATTATGTGATACAATATTGGTGCTGTATACATGAAACTTGTGTTTTGCGGAAAATCGTTGCGGCCCAGTAAGAGGCGCGCGCCCGATATTTTCCGTGCGTGATTATCACGTGATTTGTGCGACTGCTTCGCGCTTATTGCCGAGTCAGCGAAAACAGAGTGGAGAGAAGCCGAGCAAAAGACAAAAACAACGAAACGGAGGCGGTTTCTATGGCACTAATCGGCGAGGTGGCCGGAGTATATGAGGCCTGAGACTGTACCGAACCGTCGCTTTCTGCTCACAGAGCTATAGTTCAATCTAGTTTAGGCGTCTCTCGTCTCATATTCTTTTCTCTCTCTCCGCGGGAGTGTCACCATTGATCACAAGAGGAAGAAAGACAAGGCCGCCAGTGCCATGGCGAGCAACTCGATTGGCCCGGAGCGGCACCACCTGGCCCGCCAGGTCCAGGCGTTCAGAGGCCACGCCAAGAGACTGAAGCGAATCTTCAAGGACACCGTCAAAGTGCTGTCGGATTTGCAAGACTTCGACGAGTCGCTGTCCATCGATCAGATCCTCGCCGTCGACGCGCAGAAGTGCATCTCTAACGTCGTGTCGGGCAGGACGGCGCTGGTAGTGTTCGGAGACACGAGACTACGGGCGTCCATTGTGAACGAGATATTGGGTAAGAGAAGGAGAGAGTGAGAGAGAGAGAAAGATTGATTGATCCATGATTTTGCTGACTGTTCACAAGGGCTATAAACATAGGGCGTAAACACAATAAGCTGTTTATTCTCCTCACTAGGGTGTTATAAATGACTCAGCTGAGCTGTATAAAGTGTTTCTTGGCCTCGTGTATATAATTGTTATAGTGCGAAACTAAGTTCTCCCAAGCAAGTTTCCACGGTTGGTCTCATAACTGGTTCAGTTTCAATTTCTCAGTTCAGTGTACAAGTAAGAGGTGAGAGAGGCGAGGGCTTTTGTCGGCACGCTATAAGAAGTGTGGATCTGTGCTGCAATTTGTACGGAGACCACGTTTTGCATAGAGTGTTGTGCTGCTTGGGTACAAGTGTGTGTGTGCGAGTACAGATGTTGGCAGATGACAGAGTAAACAGTGGAGGGAGAGCTGGATGGGGACGACGTGAAGAGAAGGAGGGAGAAGGGAGGAGGGAGGGGGAGGTTTTCTTGTAGGATTTAACGTCGGTCATTTGCACAATAGGTGATCGAATTCCCCAATTTCGAACTTCACAGCTGATATTATGAACATAAGTATCGTCTGTACGGCACTGTTTCTTGCCAATTTGTTCACAAAGTGTCTACATACGCACTTGCGACTATAAAATTGAAAGCTAGTTTGTTGCCGAAACTCTAAACGTGCGCTTTATACACACATGCGCGTGTATTATACATATGTAATAATTCCGTACACATGTTGTTGTTGTTTGCATTTAGACAAAACTGTAGCAATGCACGTATTAATGTACAAGACAATGTGTACCGCTGGCGCATGTAGCTAAATATTTGCGTCTACTTATGCGTCATGGCGTACCTGCTAACCAGGTTAAGAAGTGAGGGTAGTATGGGTTTTATAGACTTGCTCATGACATTGGCATGCGGTGTTATGCAACTAAGACCCATATGGTCATTGGCAAAGGCTGAACACCATGTGATTGAACAATCCTACACAAAAGGCTGGTGCTCTATATTTAGAATGCTCCGCGGATGGTTTTGGACGTTTAACCCTTTGGCGTCCTTTTGTAAAGGTCTTTTAATATTTCCTTATAACGCGGTTAGGATGAGCGTCATGGAATATGCTAGTTTGCGTATTTGGTTTGTTACAACTTTTTACTGTATACAATATGTGCATAATGTATGTATCTTTTATAACACTCGACTACATACTGTAAGTACAGTATTGTAGTATGTATTCATTTGGCGAGCAAACCAGTCACCCAGTTGTTGTCCATATTATTTCCATATGTTTTCCATATTACACATGTATTCACTTGTTGTTCAACATTGTATACACATATAGAGCAGTTAAAAATTCGCACTCTTTAGTTGTTGATTCTCACATGCTCGGTTTGCTTTCTTTCTATATGAGTGAATGTATACAGTGCCTCTCTTGGAGTTTCACATCGCTGGGTGATTTGTCTGTCAGTGCGTGTGCGTCAGACCTCTCTTGGAGTTTCACATCGCTGGGTGATTTGTCTGTCAGTGTGTGTGCGTCAGACATCTCTTGGAGTTTCACATCGCTGGGTGATTTGTCTGTCAGTGCGTGTGCGTCAGACATCTCTTGGAGTTTCACATCGCTGGGTGATTTGTCTGTCAGTGTGTGTGCGTCAGACATCTCTTGGAGTTTCATTCTGTGCACATGCGTAGCTGGGTGATTTGTCTGTCAGTGTGTGTGCGTCAGACCTCTCTTGGAGTTTCACATGCGTAGCTGGGTGATTTGTCTGTCAGTGTGTGTGCGTCAGACATCTCTTGGAGTTTCATTCTGTGCACATGCGTAGCTGGGTGATTTGTCTGTCAGTGTGTGTGCGTCAGACATCTCTTGGAGTTTCACATGCGTAGCTGGGTGATTTGTCTGTCAGTGTGTGTGCGTCAGACATCTCTTGGAGTTTCACATCGCTGGGTGATTTGTCTGTCAGTGTGTGTGCGTCAGACATCTCTTGGAGTTTCATTCTGTGCACATGCGTAGCTGGGTGATTTGTCTGTCAGTGTGTGTGCGTCAGACCTCTCTTGGAGTTTCACATGCGTAGCTGGGTGATTTGTCTGTCAGTGTGTGTGCGTCAGACATCTCTTGGAGTTTCATTCTGTGCACATGCGTAGCTGGGTGATTTGTCTGTCAGTGTGTGTGCGTCAGACATCTCTTGGAGTTCATTCGTGCACATGCGTAGCTGGGTGATTTGTCTGTCAGTGTGTGTGCGTCAGACATCTCTTGGAGTTTCATTCTGTGCACATGCGTAGCTGGGTGATTTGTCTGTCAGTGTGAGTGTGCGTCAGACATCTCTTGGAGTTTCATTCTGTGCACATGCGTAGCTGGGTGATTTGTCTGTCAGTGTGTGTGTGCGTCAGACATCTCTTGGAGTTTCATTCTGTGCACATGCGTAGCTGGGTGATTTGTCTGTCAGTGTGTGTGCGTCAGACATCTCTTGGAGTTTCATTCTGTGCACATGCGTAGCTGGGTGATTTGTCTGTCAGTGTGTGTGCGTCAGACATCTCTTGGAGTTTCATTCTGTGCACATGCGTAGCTGGGTGATTTGTCTGTCAGTGTGTGTGCGTCAGACATCTCTTGGAGTTTCATTCTGTGCACATGCGTAGCTGGGTGATTTGTCTGTCAGTGTGTGTGCGTCAGACATCTCTTGGAGTTTCATTCTGTGCACATGCGTAGCTGGGTGATTTGTCTGTCAGTGTGGTGTGCGTCAGACATCTCTTGGAGTTTCATTCTGTGCACATGCGTAGCTGGGTGATTTGTCTGTCAGTGTGTGTGCGTCAGACATCTCTTGGAGTTTCATTCTGTGCACATGCGTAGCTGGGTGATTTGTCTGTCAGTGTGTGTGCGTCAGACATCTCTTGGAGTTTCATTCTGTGCACATGCGTAGCTGGGTGATTTGTCTGTCAGTGTGTGTGCGTCAGACATCTCTTGGAGTTTCATTCTGTGCACATGCGTAGCTGGGTGATTTGTCTGTCAGTGTGAGTGTGCGTCAGACATCTCTTGGAGTTTCATTCTGTGCACATGCGTAGCTGGGTGATTTGTCTGTCAGTGTGAGTGTGCGTCAGACATCTCTTGGAGTTTCATTCTGTGCACATGCGTAGCTGGGTGATTTGTCTGTCAGTGTGTGTGCGTCAGACATCTCTTGGAGTTTCATTTGGCACATGCGTAGCTGGGTGATTTGTCTGTCAGTGTGAGTGTGCGTCAGACATCTCTTGGAGTTTCATTCTGTGCACATGCGTAGCTGGGTGATTTGTCTGTCAGTGTGTGTGCGTCAGACATCTCTTGGAGTTTCATTCTGTGCACATGCGTAGCTGGGTGATTTGTCTGTCAGTGTGTGTGCGTCAGACATCTCTTGGAGTTTCATTCTGTGCACATGCGTAGCTGGGTGATTTGTCTGTCAGTGTGTGTGTGCGTCAGACATCTCTTGGAGTTTCATTCTGTGCACATGCGTAGCTGGGTGATTTGTCTGTCAGTGTGTGTGCGTCAGACATCTCTTGGAGTTTCATTCTGTGCACATGCGTAGCTGGGTGATTTGTCTGTCAGTGTGTGTGCGTCAGACATCTCTTGGAGTTTCATTCTGTGCACATGCGTAGCTGGGTGATTTGTCTGTCAGTGTGTGTGCGTCAGAACCAGTCCAGCATTGTTCAGAGATGCTTGCAACTCTGTGCGTCAAAACTGCCGCCATGCAATCCCACTTTTAGTCTCTACGTCTGTGTTACCGTATATGGATCAAATAATGTGCGATTCAGAAGCAAAAGGGGAAATGGGTTGTCCTATATACAACTGGTATCACGACACATAGTCTCACATTACGACAGTTTTATCCAGATTACTTTTACCTGCAGCTTCCTCTAACAGACTTAACATTTTACCTTTACCTCTTTCTCTTCCTCTCTTGAATAATTATCTCTCCAAACACCGCTACTTACCTGACATTACGTTCTCTCTCTCCCTCTTCTTCGCCACCACCAACTATTTAAACTTATCTGTCGTTCTTCCCTCTCTCCCTTCCTTTCTCCCTCCCTTCCTTTACTCCAATCCTTTCTCCTCCCTCTCGTCTCTCCCTCACAAGACCGTCGCGACTCCGCTCCTCCTCCATCCCTCCCTCCTTCCCTGCCCACATCAGGCGAAGCAATTCTACCAATTCCTCGCAACAGCTCAGAAATGTGGCGAATGATTCACTTCAAGTACAAGAAGCATCGGGTCCTCAGCCACACGATTGACGGTTTCGACTTCCCGACTGTTGTGTCACGGCAACACGACCACGGGCTGTCTCGGATCCCGAGCGAGACCATTCGAACAGAGATACCAACGGTTGACCCAAAATTGGCTGAGGCTACCTTAGAAGTCGGGTCAGTTGCTTTTTTTCTTCAGTTTAGCGGTTTTTAGGGCCAAATTTTCAGAAACTGCCAAATTATTTTCACAAGTACACATACATGAGTTTGTAGCACGCCTTACCCGCCGACTAACAATATTTTCTTTACTTTTCGACCCGATTTGCAGAATATTTGTTCTTATGCAGTAGCTATAAGAACAAATACATATGTACACATCACACATTATAATACATTTACATTATGTGTTAATGTGTGAAAAAGGAGTTTACGAGGTGCGTCCAATAAAGAAGAAATGTGCAATAAAGATAGTCAGGCAAACAAAAGTTGATTTATATGTATGCTATATACCACTCTGAAAACAACGTCATGTGATCTTCTGTACGTGTTAACGAGTCTGTATTTAGACGCACACGGAAATACACTCCTGACGAAAAAAAAATTGTTATTATTATTATGTGTGTGATGTGTGTGTAGACTGAACAACCCCATTCTGGAGGGAGGATTCGAGATCATCTGCTCACCTTCCACGTCACCCGGAAGCCTTGACGGAGTTCGTCGATCTCTCCAAGTGTGCCAGGTGGAGCTTCACCCCTTTTTTGTCTGCGGACACGACGGAAAGGCACCTCTCAATTCACAGGTTTGGGGGAAGGAGGGAGGGAGGGAGGGAGAGGGGGAGGGAGAGAGGGAGGGAGGGAGGGATGGAAGTACATGTATGAAGTAAGGGGTTGTTCTATTTTAGCTCCCTCTCTTGGCCATGTAGCACGTATTACTATGGTTAGGCAAGAGGCTATATTAAAGCAGCTGAATGTTGAAACAGAAGTGATATAGGTTACTAGTTCAGTGGATCTTCTGTTATACACGAAGTTGTCCAGATTTGTGGGGTGTTTTTGAAGTGCAAGAACTGTTTTTCGGGAAAGAAAAGGTGTCCTTATTAGAGAGGTGTCCTCATTTCAGGGGTGTCCTTAGAGAGGGGGTCCACTGTACTAGTACATATACATGAACATGCATACTACACGTAATGGCCACATGCGTGCATGATGTTTATTCAGGTGTTATTTATGGTCCGAAGCTGTATACCATAAACACAGTCGTGTGTTTGTGTGTGACGCCACCTGGTAGGAAGTTTGTTTTTATTTATGCCACCTTCAGTTTCTTTTCCGGCATTCGCAGTACCTCTTGGTGTACGTACATGTAGTTGACTTGTTTGTCTTGCCTTTCTACACCTCTTCCAACCTCCATCTCCTTCCCCCTCTTCCCTCCCTCTCTCTTCCTACCTCCATCTCCTCTTTCCCCCTCTTCCCTCCCTCCTTCTCACTCACTCAGCAAGTCGCAGAGTTGGAGCTGATTCGTCGCCAGATGGCAGACGTGCCACTCCTCTTTGCCGTCGTGTCGCAAGAGTACATGAACATGCGCCGCCCATCCTCGGAGCAGTCCTCGCACCAAATCAGCATCATGAGCCAGATTTACGACCAGCTCTGTCGCCTCGGTTACCTCAACGACGTGAGTCCGAGTCACAGCCCCGCCTCCATCGCACCGCACGACGTCCCCGATACGAACCCGGAGCTCAACTTCAATTTTATCCCCGTGGACACCATCGTAACCAACTTCCTCGATTTCACGCCGGAACTCCTCAGTTTCGTTCAGTGCAACATGCGCCAGCAGATCACGAGCGCTGCGTCCTCGCTGCACGACGCCCACGCGAGATGTCTCCAAATGTTGATTCTCTACGCGCACGATCTCGCGCGCGACGTACTAGTCACGCCGAAGAGGATTAAATACGCACGAACGAAAGAAGAAGAGTTGTACACGCAGCTGATTGATCTGGCGTCCAAGAAACAGGGGGAGATAAAGGAGTTGGTTCACACGGCGATCGCCGAGGCGGCAGAGGACGTGGTGAGCCAGGTGGTGCAACTAGAATTCGACGATTCGAGTCTCGATTCCAGCTACCAGGCTCCGGACCAGAAGACCGCCAAGAAATGTGTCATTCAGGTAACTTATTAAATTTAGAGTGAGCTGGGTTTGAATTGACCAATCAGATTGCAAAGCATCTAACTATTATGTTGTACACATTACGCAGTACATACGTACATGTGACCCTCTCCGGGAAAAGGTACGTGTAATTTCGAGTTACACACAAATTCAGTTACACATATCATTTGAATGCACAATACACGCTGCAGATATACATTAGCGAAATTATGCAATATAGTATAATCACCCAGATCGAGTCATAATGTGTGTGTATATTACCACACGTTCTAATGCTCTCTTACTGTTTTAACTCCTTGTTTCCTTCTCTCTTACTGTTTTAACTCCTTGTTTCCTTCTCTCTTACTGTTTTAACTCCTTGTTTCCTTCTCTCTTACTGTTTTAACTCCTTGTTTCCTTCTCTTTTACTGTTTACATATGCCATTCTACTTTCCTTCTATATACATACCTCTCTTATTTTTCTTTTTTCAATATGTAAGAGATAATGTGCGTATAGAGTTCTATACGTGATTTATGGGAACGAGGGGTGTGGTCGAGAGACTCATACAGCACGAGGCGCTAGAAGTGGAAGGGGTATCCCGTTTATGAACACTTTCTCTCTACTATTGTATATCCCCCTCCACGTAGATCCAGGAGCTAGTCTTCAAGGAGCTGAGTCGGCAGATCTCAGACAAGCTGATCAGTTCGGTGGACTATCTCAGAGAGAGTGTGGTCGGGACACTCAGGAGGTGTCTGGAGAAACTGGAGGACTCCGTGTCTGGCGACGTCAGTCAAGACACCTCTCAGGTATTACGTAATTTCCATTCCCCCTTCTTGTCCTTCTGAAAGGTGTATGAACATCTACCAACATTATGGGCACTAATACGGGTATTAATTAATCAGCAGTTCAGAGAGAGATGTACCAGAACACCAAGTATGCCTAGCTATTTTTGTAGCTCATCACTGTGACCACAGAATGAATGCAAATGACATTCATCAGGTTGTTTGTCCCTGCTTCATGCACTGGCGAACTGTAGCTAGCGATCTACATATCACATACATGTGCACCTGCACAAATTGCCACCCCCCTAGCCCTTGCTTGTATATAAACATCTACACAGAACTCTCGAGTATAGTTAGGCCGGGAGTTCCCCGCACACACTAAGGCCGACTTACACGTTTCTCGAGACAATGTGTGTACTGACTCATTAGTACTATGGAATCCTCCTACTATAATATAGTCGTAAATTTACTCTCCTTTTCTCTGTTTTGCTGTTATATTTTCTCTCTTCTCTTTCCCTCTTCCTCCCCCCTCTCTCTCTCTCTCTCTCCCTCTTCTCCCCTCTCTGTTTTCGCTGTTTATTTCCTCTTCTCTTTTCCTCTTCCTCCCTCTCTCTCTCCTCCCTCTCTCTTTCTCTCTCTCTCCTCCCTCTCTCTTTCTTTCTCTCTCTCTCTCCTCTCTCTCTCTTTCTTTCTCTCTCCATCTTTCAGGCACTGAGTCAGATCTTGGACACTGCGTACAATCTAGAGTTCAACGAGCGAACCAGCACCTCAGCCGTCCGTCTGTTCGTAGAGAGAATCAAAAGCGCCTTTCAGGTAACGTGGACATCAAACTGAATATCAATGTGTACAGCTTACTCGTACATATTTACTCTCTCCCCTTTCTTCCCTCTTTCATCATCGTGTCTCGTCTCCCTAGGGTCCCTCCCTCAAACACACAAAGATGGACAGTGGGTGGAGAGAAAAGTACGTCCGTCAAATGATCGCTAGTCTCAGCGCCACGCGACTGGCCAAGAGCATCTGTGCACAGTTCAGGGCAAAGGTCACCGTGTCACACGAGACGTTTTTGGCGGCGATAAAGCAGCTGGAGATGAGGCATTCGGGGCGACTGAAAGAGACGGAGGGACAGAGAGACACCATTAGAAAGGTCTGAACAATTGTTACATAAACCTTTTTAACATAGAGTAAGACCTTTATGTAAATGTCGTACAGTAATAGTTTCGTATTCCGATCTGGTTGCCATGGGGATCTCCTTAAATAAGCAGAAATTGATGTATAAAGTATTAGCGCCTAGTATTATAACCCCCATATAAATTCTTATGGACTTATGGAGGCTCTGGACACATTTATGTGTCTGTGGCTGGTTAAGTGGTGAGACTTTCAGTTTCGCTATGTTGTATGTTCTGTAGGTGTTGACGCCCAAGATGGCTCGCCTCAGTCTCAGCAGCATTGCCCTGAGAGACGTTATCATCCACGGAATACCTGTCACAAGTAATGCTAACAGACATGACGCACGATGCAACTTCAAAATAATGGCTATTATCGACCACGCAATAGAGTGCACTTCTAGTGCTGTTTGCCTTGTGTTGTGTTGTGTTGTAGATTCGAACCCCTACCAGCTGAGTTGCCCTAGAGCTCAGTTGGTAGAGAGCTGAGTTGCCCTGGTAGCTCAGTTGGTAGAGAGCTGAGTCGCCCTGGTAGCTCAGTTGGTAGAGAGCTGAGTCGCCCTGGTAGCTCAGTTGGTAGAGAGCTGAGTTGCCCTGGTAGCTCAGTTGGTAGAGAGCTGAGTTGCCCTGGTAGCTCAGTTGGTAGAGAGCTGAGTTCCCCTGGTAGCTCAGTTGGTAGAGAGCTGAGTTCCCCTGGTAGTTCAGTTGGTAGAGAGCTGAGTTCCCCTGGTAGCTCAGTTGGTAGAGCGCTCGCCTAGACTGCAGAGTGTCGTGGTTTCGAATCCCACCCAGGGCAACTCTTCTTCCTTTCTTTGAAAAGAAAGAGCTCTCCTGGGTGTAGTTGACTTGTTTGGCTTGCCTTCCCTTTCTACCTCGTTACCCAAGTTGTTGAGACATACATAAATTATTTTGCAAGTTGCGTGCAACTTTGTCTCACGCAGCAAAGTTCCATAGAATATCATGGCCTTAAGGGGCTTAATATTCTGCAATGGGGGAAGTTGGGTTACCATCCATCCATAGCTGTATATAAGACTATTAAAAAAGTTGCTTGACATATGGTGTAGTTGTAGTATAAAGTGCCAGGTATGTATAATTATAATATTACCCTAGAATTCATTTCCTAGGGGAATTTCTGGGATTCCCCCTCTAAATTGTTTACACACACAATACTAAGCCAGTATGCTACAGTGCAAAAGGAACAGAATGTTGTATATTATAGATAGGGTAAGAGTGACGGTGGAAAATAGGGTGGCCTAAATTGTTCGTACTTCTAGCAAGCAAGTGGAGGGAAGGACAGGCTAACCAACCATCCTGAATACCTTGACTGTAGCTGGAGAGTGCAGTGAAAGAATAGGGTGGCCTAAATTGTTCGTACTTTTAGCAAGCAAGTGGAGGGAAGGACAGGCTAACCAACCATCCTGAATACCTTGACTGTAGCTGGAGAGTGCAGTGAAAGAATAGGGTGGCCTAAATTGTTCGTACTTTTAGCAAGCAAGTGGAGGGAAGGACAGGCTAACCAACCATCCTGAATACCTTGACTGTAGCTGGAGAGTGCAGTGCATATAATCCCGAGAGTGGAATAAAAAATATATAAGGATGCTTTGACTATTGATCTATAGGCCTTTGTGCAGCATACTGTACAACATGAAGCACTGTGCATAATACATACACACGTATAACCTTGTGCTATACACGAGATCTCTATTCCATACCGCAGGCAGGGAACTGGGACGCGGTCAGTATGGAGTGGTGTTCCAGTGTGCAGAGTGGGCGGGTCAGGGACCGCTGGCCGTCAAATCTGTGGTTCCTCCAGACGAAAAACATTGGAACGACCTGGCCCTAGAGTTCCACTACACCTGGTATATAGATGTAATACATAGTAGTATATACCTGACATTTTCTTTTACACATTTATATATACACTGTACAGTACAGGAGATGGACTACCTTTTGTGTATTTGTCTGCTTCCATCCTTCATTCTAGCAGCATATTGAAGAAAATTTTCAAACGATTTGTGATACAAAGACGGCTTAATGCGATGTGTGCCGTGCAATATGTAAAGTATTACACCTTGTCTTTCTCCAGGACTCTCCCAAAGAACGACAGAGTTGTAAATCTGGTCGGAGCACTCATTGACGACGACTACACCAGTGGGTCTAATGCAGTCGTCCTCTTCATAATGCCTCGCTACCCTCGAGACCTTCATGCTGCTCTCAAGGTGGGGAGAATAATGGGTGGCCTTTCGTACTTTTAGCAAGAAAATTGTGGGAAGGAGAGGCCAACCAACCATCCTGAATACCTTGACTATAGCTGGAGAGTGCAGTGAAAGAATAGGGTGGTCTAAATTGTTTGTACTTTTAGCAAGCAAGTGGGGGGAAAGACAGGCCAACCAACCATCCTGAATACTTCGACTATAGCTGGAGAGTGCAGTGAAAAAATACGGTGGCCTAAATTGTTCGTACTTTTAGCAAGTAAGTGGGAGGAAGGACAGGCCAACTAACCTTACTGAATACCTTGACTATAGCTGGAGAGTGCAGTGAAAGAATAGGGTGGCCTAAATTGTTCGTACTTTTAGCAAGCAAGTGGGGGGAAGGACAGGCCAACTAACCTTACTGAATACCTTGACTATAGCTGGAGAGTGCAGTGAAAGAATAGGGTGGCCTAAATTGTTTGTACTTTTAGCAAGTAAGTGGAGGGAAGGACAGGCCAACTAACCTTACTGAATACCTTGACTATAGCTGGAGAGTGCAGTGAAAGAATAGGGTGGCCTAAATTGCTCGTACTTTTAGCAAGCAAGTGGGGGGAAAGACAGGCCAACCAACCATCCTGAATACTTCGACTATAGCTGGAGAGTGCAGTGAAAAAATACGGTGGCCTAAATTGTTCGTACTTTTAGCAAGTAAGTGGGAGGAAGGACAGGCCAACTAACCTTACTGAATACCTTGACTATAGCTGGAGAGTGCAGTGAAAGAATAGGGTGGCCTAAATTGTTCGTACTTTTAGCAAGCAAGTGGAGAGAAGGACAGGCCAACCAACCATCCTGAATACTTCGACTATAGCTGGAGAGTGCAGTGAAAAAATACGGTGGCCTAAATTGTTCGTACTTTTAGCAAGTAAGTGGGAGGAAGGACAGGCCAACTAACCTTACTGAATACCTTGACTATAGCTGGAGAGTGCAGTGAAAGAATAGGGTGGCCTAAATTGTTCGTACTTTTAGCAAGCAAGTGGGGGGAAGGACAGGCCAACTAACATTACTGAATACCTTGGCTATAGCCGGAGAGTGCAGTGAAAGAATAGGGTGGCCTAAATTGTTCGTACTTTTAGCAAGCAAGTGGGGGGAAGGACAGGCCAACTAACCTTACTGAATACCTTGACTATAGCTGGAGAGTGCAGTGAAAGAATAGGGTGGCCTAAATTGTTTGTACTTTTAGCAAGTAAGTGGAGGGAAGGACAGGCCAACTAACCTTACTGAATACCTTGACTATAGCTGGAGAGTGCAGTGAAAGAATAGGGTGGCCTAAATTGCTCGTACTTTTAGCAAGCAAGTGGGGGGAAGGACAGGCCAACTAACCATCCTGAGTACCTTGACTATAGCTGGAGAGTGCAGTGGTAATGTCTAAACTATAGTCTTTGACTTTGCAAAAGTTCTCTCCCTCGAAAGGTTATCGCTATACTATTAAACTATGTAACAGCTCACACTATACAAAGAATGAGACAGAAAGGACGACGACATTTAGGCTTCAATAGAACTTCATATAGGCTTACTCATGTACGTACAGGTTGGACTAGACTTTGGGTCGAGGATGCAGATAGGACTGGACGCAGTAGAGGGAATAAGATTCCTCCACGGACAAGGCCTTCTCCACAGAGACATCAAACTGAAGAACGTTCTGGTGAGTACCTCTTTTTCAGTAGGTACTGTTTTTAGGGTGTTTAACGTGAGTTTGCAGTCTGAGCTCTACTCTACTCTTTGTGTTTTGCCTGCATTTTGGGGTGGAAAACCTTGCAAGTTATGCGCTATGCAACCATTTTCCTCATTGCCACCAATATTACGTTTCATTTCATTCACCCCCCACACACACACACCCTCACACCGGCACACAGCTGAACAACGCGAACAGAGGCACACTCACAGATCTCGGTTTCTGCAAGCCTGAAGCCATGATGACCTGCACCATCGTAGGCACGCCGATCCACATGGCCCCCGAGCTCTTCGGCGGTTCCTACGACAATTCAGTCGACATCTACGCATTCGGAATCCTCTTCTGGTACATCTGTGCCAACGACACGAAACTCCCCGGGGCATTCGACGCCTGTCAGAACAAGGAACAGCTCTGGACGTCGGTGAGGAAGGGGTTAAGACCGGAAAGGTTACCGCGGTTCGACACGGACTGCTGGGAGCTGATGTGCTCTTGTTGGCTCGGGGAGAGCATTCAGCGGCCGTTGATTGGGGACGTGGCCCTTCGTTTGCACCTCATTATGAAGAGAATAGGACGAACTCCGCTAAAGTAGGGCATGTAGTGTAGGTTTCTGTCATCACTTTCACTAATTGAGGATATTAACTACTCTATTGTACTGTTTGACATGCAATTATTATTATTTTACTTTTGCATCGACATTATTGTTTTGTAAACAAGTATGTGTACATTATTGTGTGTACTAATAACTGTTTGTACTGTGGATTTGAGCATGTTTATAAAACTGCAGTGGCAACATGGACTATTATTCTACACCACATCCTACTCCCTGTTGGGATAATTCGCCATTACAGTTCTGCTGTGTTCTGTTTGTCAGTGGCTTTGCCCCGCCGTTCAAGTAGTTGTTAGCTTTTTTTCCTTTCTACCTTGAGCCTCCAGCTCAGCATGATTATTATGATCATACATATCAGAGCTATCACAAAGGCAATACCCAAAAGCGTAGCAAGAATAGGTACCGTGGCACTCTTGCAGTCATCTGAAAATTGGAGGGCTTTTGCATAAGCACACAATAAAGTGTCAACCCCTTCAAACCTGATTCCCGTTCTGCAGGCCCTATTGATGGTGTCTCTGTCACAGAGAAAATGAAAAAATGAAAGCACTATAAATTAAAATGTGCATCCTTAGTCTAGTAATAGCAGCTCTATTATCACACATGGCACGAACCTCGTGTTGAAGGCTCAACTTCAGCACTACTACAAGTCAACTCTTCGCCATCTCTGATTGTGCTATCGCAGAGACATGACTCTTTGTTTGTTGTCAGGCAGGAGCACAGCATGTCCTCCTCACAGGTTTCTGTACAATCACAGTGATGTAGCTAAGAGTTGACGGTTGAAAGTTTTAAGCAATAGATCTACGGCTTTCGTATACGTTCTTTCATATCACCTGCTTACCCTTGTCTGTACATGCTGGTTCAATGGTGTCTTGATCAACCCTGAACAACCAGATGCCGTTCTCTCCAATATTACTAGAGTTGACCAGTGATGTTATGTTCTGAGTCCCTGAACAGGGCATCTTCCAGGGGTCTTTCTCTGTTCCTATATCATTACACAACAAAATCACAGTTGAAGAGCAAAAATATTATGTTATCATCGGTGGTAAGGAAATAATTATTATATTATCTATGTTGTTGAGCAAGGAGTTAATTTTCCTTTAGGGTATAGTGCAGTGATTTGAGGTCTGCCTTTGTCTTGTGTGTTGTAGATTTGTACTCCTACCAGCTGAGTTGCCTAGCTCTGTTGGTATATAGAACGCTCGCCTAGAAAGCAGAGTGCCGTGGGTTTGAATCCTAGGCCACCTCTTTTTCGAAAAAAGAGTTGTCCTGGGTGTGTTTGGCTTGCGTTGCCTTGTTGACACGTGCATTAAAAGAACACAGCTTCAATACCTGAGTAAAATCCAACACGAGCGACAGAAGAATTTTGACCCTGGCTCCACTCCAGTTGATCGTAGAGGAAGATTGTAAAAGTCATATCTCCGTCAGTGGCTACCACACACTGGAACGTGTTGACCTGCATAGATCGAGAATCAACAATAAGGTCATGGCAAAAGTAAAGGCAAACAACACAACCCAGGACAACTATTATTCCCTGCACTACATTTTATTCGAACCCACAACACTCCACGCAAGTGCTCTACCAAAAGCAACTCAGCAGATATGGGTTAAAATCTACAAGACAAAGAATCATTGTGAACTGGGGTCTAGCATGCACCAGACTGTCAGGAGAACCTGTGGTTGCTTTAAAGTTACCAAAGAAAGCATATGCGGAAATTGGCAAAGTTCAGATCATTCATTATGTACAGTCTGCTACAGATAGCCATAATTTGATCAATGAAAGTGTTTTGTGTGTGGTGTGGTGTCTCCCTTAAACACAAATGTTTGGCGCTGGATGTGAAATATTCATTAAGTGACTATTTACCAGGAGATCGTTAACATCATTCATTATGGTTTAGATCATGCTGTTGTTTTCTAGAAGTTAAAAAAACAAAGCTTGGTACAAAAGAAGCAAAAGGCTGTTAACGTCTCATGATGCATTGCAAAGAAAGGTAGCTATCTCATGCCATTACCCGATTATTTTGCATTTCATTATATCCGACATTGTTCCATGTTGCCACAATGAGATATGTTGGTTCAAAGCTCTCATACTGTGTCCATGTTTGGATCTGCTGCTTTGCTTTTCCAGAGAATTTCTGTCCGTACACAACCGTGTGACTGTACTTATGCTGCCGCCTCACAACGCCATTCCTACATCGACGTCCGTAGACCCGGCGATGATAGTATGGCCCCTGGTATTGTGCTTTCTACGCGATTTAGTATCTCGCTGCAATTAGCAGGAGGCTGATGACGGAACTCCAGTATTCCGTTGGCACTTACCTGCAAAACATAAATTTAGCTACACAACCTTTTTTTGTTATTATACCATGACAGTACAATATGGATAGATTCTCCGAGGATCGTATAAGGGGCTTTGAGATATCGGTTGGGGAGCATCCTTCGTCATTGATAATGAGAAGTTGCTACACTCCAAGGTTCATAAAATTCTACAGGATTGCTACCCCGAGACCGGGCAGCGAAACTCAGCGCTAGTAGACAAATTTCATTTGGGTTGTTTTTCGCGTTTGCAACCGTTTCACAGAAATCCTGGTATTATGCCATTGTAAACGGCGGAGATGCGTGCGCATGCGCAAACAAACGCGACCCGCCTGCTCCATGGGTCCAGAGAAGTCGACTCTACCTCACGTACAGTTTCCTTGCTTTGAGAGAAGTTGCGCGGACGGCGTTGATGTAGATAATCTTCAACTCAAGGGTTATAATTGCTGTTATCGTTCTTATATCCCCACTGTGCAAATCATTACCTAGCTATGCATATAAAGATAATCAAATAGTTTCTAGCTAGAGCTACGGTAACTGCTAATAATTCTGTGTCAAAATATTATACAAGAGCCTCATCAAAGACACCGACACCAGTTGCTCTGGCGAAGTTGGCTGTGAGCATGTGGTAATGGCCGCTTGCTGCATGGTCACCGTTCCACGCTCTTCATCATATATCGCTGCAGTTTAGGATAACAATGCCATTGACTGCACATCCCTGCAGTATATGTTCACCTTTTATCCTATGTCCAACTGCATTCAGTGCTGGCTCTGATCGAGAGCTGCCAACATGACATGGAAGGGCTAGGTCTATGAAATGCGGCCGCTCTAGTGTGTTAGAATAGCTTGGATCCTTCTCTGTCTGTTGTCTGTTGCGAATGTATGGCCCTTTCACGCTCTCAGGAGTTAGTAGGCTTTTGCTATAGAGCACAAGGCACTAGACTGCTGGGGTCTACTCCGTCATGGAAAACTGATGCATCGTCTGAAAGCTCTCTGCTCAACAGACATTGGCCAGACGGATGTTTGGAAGGGCCACTGACTCTGCCATACAGAAATCAGGAAGTCAACACTTCAACATAATTTTGCGGGTAAAATCTGAAGCGGAGTATATAAAAGGCTAGCATTGTCTTTTGATTCTCAAGTGTTAGCATTGAGCACAATTAGGTGCATTTTTAAGCTACGGAAAAACCGCAATTCGCATATAGACATAATTATTTGCAATTAATAACCAGTCCTATGGTATGTAACTTACTACTCCTGGTGATCTATGTGGCTGTCTTCTGGTTTTACTCCTATAAATCCTACTCTCTGTTCAAGATCTTTGGGTTCACGTTTGACCATTTTAAGCTCCAATTGAAAGGCCGACACGAGTAGTCCTCCTTTGTAGTTATCCAATGACTTTTCACGAGCTGAATCAATAGAATTATTATAATAATCCATATTCCTCTACTCATTTTTATCGTTGGATGGTCTGTTTTACATATTGGGTATATACATACACAACACACAATAGCGTAAAGCGTCGAGTGAGCATAGGTATGCACAAAAGGCAAGCATTGACTACTAATAATGGTGAAATAGTTTTATTTTGCACGAGCTGCACGGCTGTTTATCAATATTATAATGTGTCCTCAAAACAAAAGAACTTAAATTGGAAGTTATACACTGTACGTCTCAAACGAGCGAATCCGTGTGTAACTAGGTGAGTGGCCGAATGCTACAGCTTGATGGTGAAAATATTGACAAATGTTTCCTATAGCGATCCATCAACATAAGCCACTTGCACACACACCACTGTCGGAACAGATGCATACGACAAACTGTTAGCCCCACCTCGCTCTACCATTAAGATTAATCTCTTACACGGAGTGAGGAAAGGGGACACAATCTCCAACCATCTTTGGTCCATGGCTCTTTAGGAGTATCGAGTGTTATTTTAGTCACTCCAGGTTTGAACTTGAACGCAATATATTTGGACCTTCTAGAGCTCCTTTCTCGTAAAATCTCATGCACTATCTGCAATAGAATTTTAAAAATATTAGTATGATGGGTTTGGTAATAAAACACGTGAAATTACCTTCACGACTAGGTCTTTGCTTTGGGTGACCAGTAATATGAAACTTCTCTGTACATTAAGTGGGTTCGGCACATAGTAGGTGCGGATGGCATAGTTACGTGACCTGCAAGCACTGCAAGAATAGAAGTGCTGACTTCGATAGTAGCCTCTCAGACTCAGGAAAGTATCCTCCTGGCAGACGCTCAAAGATGTAAGGCGGTGTATCTCTGGCAGTGTAGAAGGAGAGCGCTGTATTTTCATCATCATCTTCTCTTCAACCCACGGAGGCGCAGTGCTGGAGACTCAACTGACTTTTTGCGGGAAATTTCGACTGGGGATTAACAGAGATAGAGTAGACCCCACTAACAGGACTAAGATCATCTGAAACTGATTTCCCCCTGCAAGCTGGCCTGGACATACACTGTTGACTTGTCCAGTGCCCTGCTCCACACTCCACAGAGGGCACACCCGCTGAGAACCGTAACTTTGAACCCATGGTCTTCCAGTCGTAGGTTGGTGCCGCTTCTGCGCACCGTGCACCGCCCACGCTGAAACTCTTTTCTGTTCCTGTCGCTCACGCTATTTCAGCTTGCTCAACATCGTGATGCTACAGATGTGAGAGATACTCTGTCTCTGATTGACCAACTACCAATTAGCAGAGAAACTAGCTATCACTATAGTTTATTATGTGCATAGAAGTACAACAGACTTATATGTGTACTTCTGCAGTAGTAGGCTGCCCACTCAATTACCAGTATATTTACAAGTGGAAAACCAAATCATTCTCTCTCAAAATGAAAGATATAGGGATGGTTGAAGCACACCAAAAAGGGAGAA